AAGAATGAAAGGACTGCTTTTAACTATGGTTAGTATTTTAAGAGGAACTTGCAATGAGCTTCCCAGGCCCAAAGGGATTATATTAATGATTCCTTACACGCATACATGAACTAAATTTTTGTGATGCTTTTCTTGGAACAAAAAATGTTTTCACCTGAATGAAAGAGATATGCAACCTTGCTCAGTTCAGAAGATCTTATCTCCTTTGATGCAAGTTTTTCATCTGCACAACACATAGCATCATCAGACAACTCAGAAATCTTTACCATACATCAGCAACACATTTCCACCAGTAAATATGTCCATCCCTTTTATGCAAATTCATCAGGAATGTTGAAAGGAAAGCATGTTTTTTATTATATGATAAATATTGACTTGTATCTTTAAGAAATAACAATGACCAAAGCTTACACACAGCTACATATATTCCAGGAGTGGCGTGTGCAAATCAACAATGTCTTAGAGGAGGACATGTCATGGGTCACAGGATGGGAAATGATGGGCATAGGTCTTGAAGAAAATTACCTTAGATAGAGCAATATAAAAGTTCTCTTTGATGAGGTGACATCTGTGTAAAAAAAAAAAAATGTGAGGTGTCAGATAAAATCGAGGCATGCTATTAACTGGCAGGAAGTGTGTGCAGGATGTAACATCAAGTGATAAAAAGTTCCTCTTTTGCCCTTTACTTTAAAAAAAATAGTTATGGATTTCATACCAGTCAGGTACTTATATACAAATGCTGTGTTGCTTTGATTGATTGGTAGCAACTTCAACTACAAACCTTAAGGAAGTCATGAAGACATCAGTGATACTTCTTAGAAGAAATAAATTCTCTAAAACATGTTAAAAGTGTGCATTTGGAAGCTTCCTTTATTTTAATGTGTTGTAGTTGCCTTTGGTCCTGAAGTAAGAGACTTGGTCAACATCCCCTGGAGAATTCAAAGAACTTCAAAGCCCCCTCATCTCTTGTATATCTTTGCCTTACTCTTGTTTACAGTTTTGTTGACCTAATAAAGTGCAAAGAACATTTAAATCCACATGGGGACTCTTCAAGAAGAATCAGCCTCCCAGAATGGCTGGAATATTCTTCCTAGAACATCCTCCAAGATTTACTTCCTGTGTGAAGTTTGGGTGAACGGACCAACCACAAGCTGGGTCATTTGTGTACACTGCTGAAATGTGTGTGTTAGTCTGTTCTTTTTTTTACTAAAAGATCTTGTTTCTCTCATTGTTACTGAGCACACACAGGACACCTTTGCAGTTCTCTGTTAGACATGACAAGAAGTGCAGTCAATCTAAAGCTGCCTGTTCATTTCCAAGAGGCCAAGTTGCATTCCAGGAGTTAATCTGATAGTGAGTTTTTGCTCTATATCTTAGGATTCCTTGGCATGACTGAGATGAAAGATGTAAGCTCATCCCACAGAAAGAATTTCATAGGGGCAGACTTTGTGACTTTACCTTTTCCTATTTATTGTTAAAGAACTCAAGCTAGTAGTATACATGCTCTGGGGCAGAGCCCTCTCCTGTCTAACCTATTTGTACATGGAGCTTAAACACAAGATTTTAAACCCGTGTCAGTATTTAATGTCATTTGGTGTCCTTAAGAGGAGATAAACATGGTTGGAGGGATCAATCTCTGATTTAACCACCTCTTTCAACACAGGCCCAGTTTTTCACATTTCTGAGTTTTCACATTTCTGACTTGCTTAGTGGATAGGATTTCTGGAGTATTAAATGGTGTAATAAAATAACTTAGCGAATCATAGTCATTCTACTAAATACAAAACTCTTGTAGGGTAGGGGTACAAGACAGGCCACAGAGATTTCTCAGTGGCTAAGAGCTTTCTCTGCAAGCATGAGGATTTTATTTTGAATCTCCTGCGTATATATTAAAAGCTATATGTGGCAGCTTGAGCCTATGACCTCAACATCAGTGGGTAGAGACAAGTCGATCTGGAGAATTTAATGGTCAGCCAACTTAGTCCAAAACAGGAGCATTCAAGTTCAACAAAAGACACTATCAAGGTGGTAAAGTGAAGAGATAATAGAAGAAGACATCCAATGCCTTCCTCTGCCCTCTGCACCTACACACACACACACACACACACACACACACACACACACAGGGGTGGGGGCAGAGAGAGAAGGAGAGAGAAATACAGGGAGGGGGAGATTGGGAAAAAAACCCAAAAGACAAAGGAAAAAAAAAAGATGGTGAAAAATGCTAACTTAACTCACAGGAAGATCCCTTAGATAATTTTTCCCTACTTTAATGACAAGTGGCAGTCAGGGGCATGGGAGAAAGGAAGCAGGGGCAGTATTTAAAAGCTGGGTACTGGGATGCTATTGTTTTCCTTTTACATTTCTGTGTCATCCTTGTTATAGATATATACCAGGTAATCTATTGTCTTTCAAACAAATAATAACCAGAGGAATATTGGCATCTTCTTGGTCCCAGTTGGCTGGAACTTTTGTTGCATGATGCTACTTGCTATAGTTTCCCCAGATCCTCTTTTGGATCTAGGCTTTGTTTATCCCACCTGATCTCAAATACAAATTTCCCTCACTGATTTCTTGGTTTGCTTGAAGTTCTTTCTCAGCCAGGAAGAGCTTTGGTTGGGAGTAAAGGTGCATACACAGACACTTTCACTAATATAGACATTCGAACAGAGACACACAAATGGAGACATACATTGCAGGGACTTATGGCTACTGCAATGTAATCTATGGGATGTTGGAATTTACAGCTGAGTAAAGACAAACTATGGACTAAAGGAAAGTCTTGGGATTTACTTTCCAAATTAGGCATTATGATTTGTGATTAACAGATTCAAAGACACAGACTGTGTCCTAATACAGCTTCTAGTGATTATTTTTAGGGACTGGCAAACTAGAAAATATTTTTTGCTGAAATTGCTCAGACACTGGGCAATTGAAAGAAAATCCTCTTGTTGATACGATATTTTTGACTGCTTACCAAAGTTATCTTGTTCAAATGCATGGCCTCATTAGGAGTTAAACCCTAGAATGATCCGATGCCTTGTATCCAAAACGGATACTTTCAAAACTAACATGTTGTCATGGCAGCGTGAAAATGCTAAGGTGTGACTGACCCTCTGAGGAACTGAGCATCTCACCACAGTGACTTAGTGTCTGTGGTGAGATATCACAAGTCAGTCTCCAGAGTGAGAAGCCCTCACCAGGTGGAGGGGGAGATACACACTTTCTTAAATCGCTAAGGTAAAACATTTCATGCCAGAGCACAAGAAAGCACAGGAATCTGAAAAGCTGTCATCTCCAAACTTTCAAATTGCAAAGGACTCTTCATGTCCTAGGGAAAATAACACAGAGGACGTGTCAAGCACTGTGGTTTTCCTGAATAGGCTCACAGGCATCACAAACCACACTTTAGGAAAGTCAAATTTTTACACATTAATAGAAATAATCTGCTTTGGACTTAAAAGGGAGGGTTGCAACCACATGTTTGCATAGCTGGCAATCCAGGATGCTGTCTAGAGTATTTTTTAAATACCTAAATTAGATCTATGCAGAGTATGGATACAGCAGATAACTGGCAGTATAGAGTTAGCTGAAAGGAAGAAAAAAAGGAACTGTCTTTGTAGGTTCTGCCCCTCCCCCCAGAGAAAAATGACTGTTGTGTTTCTACTGACAGAGCTGTGCACAGCAAATGCCTGAATCACTTCACCGATAATGAGACATTCTGTTTCTTAGTTCACTATTTAAAAATATAAAACTAACAATTACAGATGGAAACTATTCATTCTGAGATTTGAGGATGGAAAAATCACTTTTTTTTTTTTTTTTAAGCCCAAGGCTTTCTAATCTCTGAGCAGACTGCACTTCAACTGGCAGAGAAAAGGAGGTGATGAATTTACAGAGAACAAGGCAGGAGCCTGAGGTGTGTGCTCCGAGTTGGAGCTTGAGTCTCATCCTTTTGCTGCCTTGAGAAGCGGTGCTTGATCTGCATGTACAAAGAGGCCAAAGCCATGACATGCTGTGGTTTCATGTTCTAAGACATCATCCAACGGTAACAGTCACCTTGCAAAAAAAGAAAAAAAAAATGTATTGGGTGGAGATTTATCTGACCAAGATAGCCAGTGATTGGCAAGAGATGTCACTCATCTAGGTTCAGAGACCAGAAAGCCTTTCTGTTTGAGTCATCTGAGCTCTGAGTAGGGGAATTACTATCTGCTAACTATTGAATGCAGAATATAGTTTTCTAATTAAACATATTTCAGGGGTAAAAGCATTGTTCTAAAAATCCATTATCTTAGTTATTGTTATTACTAGTGTTCAATAGGTCAAACATCGCAGTTATTTATATAGAAATTTATAGTGTTCAACCCATGTTTAGTTCTTTTGTTTGTTTAATTGATTTTGATTAGCAATTATCACAGTCCCAAAGTTTTAGTAGACAAAGGTGAACTTCAGATTAGTCCTGATCATAATAAAAAAAGAAAGAAAGAAAGAAAGAAAGAAAGAAAGGAAAAAAATCAGGGTGTTAGTAAAACTCTGGTACTTAGTAATGTGGTGAACAGTTTATTTAAGATTGTATTTATGCATTTGTGAACATCCACATATATGCAACAACAACAACAGCAATAATGAAAAGAGGTTATTAATTTGAAAGGAGCTGGGAAGCACTGGAGAGCTTGAGGGAGGAAAAGGAAGGAGAGAAGTAATATATTTAAATTAACTTTTTAAAAGTTTATCTAAACAGACAAGCAGGTTCTGCTAACAACAGAATGTTACCATTTACCTCTGACAGATTTTTAGCTGGAACACCAGAACCTATCCCCTTTAAAAATATTAAACATATCTTCTGTAGCTTAAATCTGTCATTTGACCCTAACACTTGGGAAAAACCTACTTTTCAATATTTTAAAAATGGCTTATCAAGGAATTTATTCTTATTTCCTGAAGTGCATAAATTAAAAATCTGAAAACTTTAAACTCATTTTCACTTTTTTCTCTTCTCCAAAGGATATATATTATTTAGAAAACAAACATGGTTGTCTTGTGATGGTTTTTCTTTTTTCTTTTTTCTTTTTTTTTTTCCAAATGAGCCAACAAAACAGAATAAAATATATGATCCTCTCTGGTCTGGCTGAGGCTGAGTCATTTCCTGTTTCAATAACAGAATGTCATCAGCTAAACTCCAAGCAGCACAGTTTGTCACTGTGTGTGGCTTTATTTGTACATGTTGCTAGAAGGTTCTTAAGGAAAATACACTCATCGTTTTAATGCCAAAAAAAGCCACTTTCAGGGAGCAGCTTTGGCTCTGCCTGGTGCTTGTGTGTTATTTATGCTGTCACTAATTGGGAGGGGGGGATGAATGCTTGCCCAGCCTATATACAGTCACTCTGATGACACTAATTTGCCTTGGGAATTCATAATTTACTCAGGTCACCAAGGTGTTCACACCAATGCGAAGTGTTTTTTCCCATGTGTTGAGCTCTGTGCTCCAGTGCCAGAGAGCATCAGAATTGAACTGGAAAAGCCTGGAAGTTGCCTGGTTTTCGTGGGTGACTATTTCATCTTCCCCCACTTCCACTCCACTTGCGTACAGCAGCCACACTGCTCTCTGATTTCTTCATCGAAAGGTTCTGAGATTCTTTTCCTAGAATCACAAAAGGGAGTTGGTATTGTTTACTTGGTCGGCAGCTTGGGCACATTATTCCCTGAGTTGAGAACTTGGTCCCCCTGAGACCTACCACGCTGATTGTAAATGTGACTCATCTGTATGAGTCATCATCTTCAAGCCAGAGATGGCTATCTTTTGTCTTCTTGCTACTATTTTTCCAAAGTGTTGTTGCTGTTGGAGATTCCAAACCATGTGCCTGTTTCTGTCATCCAGGAAACATTCATTGTCCAGGGCTCAGACAACATCCCTGCAGCAGTAGGAGGATGAGGATTTAGTTTTCTAATCAGACCCCTTTAACGCCATTCTCAGATAATAAGAGTGTCAGTAGCAGGGGAAGCATTTCAGGGATCTTCTAGGTCTTACCTGAGAGAAGCCATCCTGGTGACTCAAAGGCTCTTTCCCCTAGAGTCAGAATGAAAAGGCATCCTATTAGAGAGAAGAGGGACTTTCCTGCTGCAAAGGGAACCTTAGACCAAACGACTTAGGCTTTTGTCCCAGTTTAAAAACCTTATTGCCTGTAATACAGAAGCATACGGATCTTAATGATCGCTCTTTCAAAACCCTCATAGAGAATTGTATTATGACTCTATCTCTCCCTCCAGTGTATCTTAAAAATTCATCACAGTCTAACGATACAGGCATCGTTTGGTTGCAATAATTAACATCTTATTTGCATTCCGTATGACTCTAAGTTCTACAGAAGTGTCTAAGACTGTGATAGGCAGTGTGGAATTGCTAAGTAAATGTTTGCTGTAGGTTATAAAATATGAATAAAACAGGCATGGCTGTTTTCCTGTTCTTTCAGCCTAGGGTTATCTTCCGGATGAATAGCATATGACCACTTCTGAATCAGTTACAACCATAAGTGTCAGTCTTATGCACCAAGAGCCTGTGTACCTGTGACTCCTTCATGAGTTGCTAGGCTTCACTTCCATAAACACCACTGAAGAATTTGTTGCTATGTAACTTCCAGCACCCTTGGATCTGTCCTGCACGCTACTGAAGCCTCATGTTCCTAGGGCAGGGAGATGACCCTATGGAGACAAGCTCCTCCTCAGGAGACAGCCTACCATTTGTTCATGGCCACAGACAGATCAGTCCCAATCATGCACCCACTAGTTGGGGATGGAGAAATAGTTTGGATTGGTGTCATGATATCAGTCCATTTAAGGATGCTGTGGCCCCTCTTCAGAAGTTAGAAGCAGTTTATATCTCTTGGTCCCATGAGGAATGGAAGAAATGCAAACTCTACCAAGAATTACTTTGATTTACCAAGAGTTTATAGGCTGAGTATCAGCCAAGCTATTCATTTCCTGCTTTGCCTCAAACAGAACCAGTTCAATCCTGTAATTATCTTCACTTTGTCCTAGCCCCCCAGGCCCTCTGCTTGGTGGTCAGGGTTCTGCATCCAGAGAATTGACCTCTCCCATACATCTGTTGTTGCCTGTGTGTTAAGATAAGGAATTCCAAAGACTTCTTAAATCCTGAACTTAAAAACTGTACTGTGAGACCTCCTTCAGTCTTAAGTCTGCTTACCCACAGTAACCTGGAACTCCAGTCAGTATGTCTCCCTGCCAGCCTGGACCACTGCGAAGAGCCACATGCTGCATCTCCCTTACCTTTCCTTGCGGTGGCCTTTGCTTGCCTTCTTTTGCTCCTCTGAGTTCTTCCCTCAACCCCAGTGAAGCTCTGTCTGTTTGAACTACTTTGCAGCCATCCGGGACTCTGGACTCTATCAGTCTCTTTCTCCTTTGCACCCATGATTCTGCTATTAGCTTGAAAATGACAATCTGATCTATATCTTTAGTAGTGTGTCTGACAGTCAGAGGAGACAGCTTCTCTCCTGCCCCTCACATATAGATAAATGCATATAGCCACTGAAAGAACTTTCTAGCTATGTTGCTGTGGATAAGCAGACAGCTTCCTCTCTGAACCTCGGTTTCTTTATGTGTACCACGAGATACCAACCTTACCAGACAGAATTGTTGGCAAGGATGAAGGAGTGAGCACATGAAGGGACCCTGGTGGGGAGCTTCCATCCAGCAGGCATGCTGGAGATACCTCGTCCAAACCCCTCAAGATCACAGCAGAAGTGGGCTCATTAGTTCTCTCAGAGGAGACAGCTTTACACCAGGCACTATTATTAGTATCTCTGATTTGGGGTTCTGAACCTGTATGTTTGACAGAGGCCTCATGTCCTCTGTGTCACTCAATAGTGACAAACCAAAAGAAAAGATCCTGGCAGATGATCAGCAGCTTGTCCTGCTGCTGTGGTCACAAACCCCATGGCTATTTTAGGGCCAGTATTGTTCAAGCTGGATTTAGTTTCCCTTTGCTGTCTATTTTGGCGTTGACTTGCTCTAAAAGGGCAGGCTCCACATGGTGTGTCAGGCCAGTGGCTCATCCATCGTCTTTGTCGAGGTTTACTCAGTGAAAGACACCACCAATGAGAAAATAAAAGACAGAAAGGACTTGAAAAAGATCTCACCCTCCATTCAGAATCTTAAAAATACATTTTTAAACAAAGCAGCATCATATCATAGGAAATGTTTTTTCTTTTAACTTGTAAAATTAAAGAAAATCACAGATATCTAATAAGTGAATTATTAGAAGAAACATCTCTCTTTTGATGTTCACAGATCTTTCCATGTATGTATATCCTCTTATGTCTGTGTGTGTCAGTTTGTGTGTATGTGTGTGTATGTGTCTGTGTGTGAAATATCTATATGTGTGTTGGTCTATATGTCTATACGTGGATGTCAATATGTATCTATGTGTGTATGTGAAGTCTCTACTTACCTATGTGTTTATTGATGTGGGTCTGTGTATATCTCCAGATAGCTGTTGATGCCCATGTGTGCATGCCTCTGTGTGTGTATAAGGTGTGTTTGTGCTTGAGTGTGGTTGTGATAATGTGTTTGGTATGTGATTTCTATTTCATGTGCCTATCTGTTTTCTGTATGGGATGGGTTTTTTCCTTCCTTTTTTTCCTTTCCCTTTTTTTTTTTTTTTTTTTTTTTTGAATCCCAGGAAAGAATGTCTCCTTCTACTTGCTAAAGGATTCTGTCAAGAAAGTGAAACCACAATGCAAATTTGAGGATTAACATCTTTGAAATGTTTGAGGTTATTTTTATCAACCATTGTTCTCCAGTGTGAGACTCACTGTCAAGCAGCAGCAGGCCCTACTCTCCTGTTACAGGAGGAACCACACTGCATCCTATTTACATTTTTTTTGTTGTTGTTTATCAAGCTTTGTCAACAATGTAAGCCAGACAGGGAGACAGTTTGTCACTTTACTGCAGAGGTCTACTGAAGCTCTAGAATCCCTTGTGTCTCTGTTTCTAGGAAGCTCAGCCTCGCATCATGTAACAGATGAGAGACCAATACAAGGACCTTTGACTGAGTCCTCAGAATAAATTAACTGTCTGATATCCTGTTCTCATGGGTCAGAGTCTCTTTTATTAGCCATCCCAGATTATTATTAAGCAGTCACAGAACTTTTCTCACTTTCAGCATCCAGGTCAAACAAGTGGGAACAATGGCAGGCTTGCAGGTTGAGTGTCATTCACTGTGGCATTGACCATAGTTTTACAAGACTGAAGAATGAGTCTCGAAGAGGTCAAAACCAGAGAGTTGGACATCATTACCCAAACTCATCAGCTGCCCAGGCAGGTCTGACCAGGCTTATGGGAAATGTGCTCACAGGTGAGACAACCCTTGGCACTAGCTCCAGACTTTCAGTTCAGAGAACAGTGAGTTCCCAGTACAAGGGAGTGGAAGATGATGTCATCGCATAGATATGGCCCTGCTTTGAAATCAGTAAGCGTGTTCAAAGTTCTCTGGGACACATACTTGGATTTAAAAAGTGAACAGTGATAGGCAATGTTTGGCTAAACAGATTTTCTGAAAAATAAAATAACACCCCTGATGTATGAGTTGTCCCTTAGAAAACACCACGAAGTTTTTTTGTGTGTGTTACAATCCTATTTTCACTTGAAACTTTCTCAGACAATATTGTTAGGAACAAAAATCCAAAATTAGCTCTAGGCTAAGAGTGAATAATTTCAACAGCCACTCTAAAATAGTTTATATTTTTAGAGCCATATATGGGTGAAAGGAACTCTTTCAACAGGAGGAAATAAAAGGAAACTTTTGCACATGGCAGGAAAAAAAAAGCTTGAACAGTAAATATGTGTGAGAGTTCAAGTTCCTAAGCCTTGCCAAGTGAAACTCTAGGTAATTTTTAAATTTGCTTTCAGTCAACATTTATTTTCGATGCTTTACCAACTTTCAGGGCTAAATCAGGAAACATTACTTCCATTAATTAATATTTAACAGTTGGCTAGCATTTCAGGCTTGTATGTCTTCCCTTTTCATAACTAAAAGCTGGTGAACATTTAATTGAATTTTGATGATAATCTTAATAGCATCATTCTCTACATATGCTCCTTAAAGCAATTTCATATTTGCAAATTGCTTTTGCATTTCTTATAGCTAGTTACATAACTTTGCTCATGGAGCAAATTAAGTTCTTACTAATGTAAAGTGGTTCTGCTGTAACAGTGTAAACACAGATATGTCAATAAATGCACAGAAGATAATCTCATGCCAGTGGTAATATATCAGTGCTAATTAATAAATGTATCTGGGTACATAACACATATCTCCTTCCACACAGGTCTGGGAATGGTATTGAAGTAAACTTCTCAATTATGACATTTTTAAGGGCTGATTCTTGAGGCTGACCTCATCAGAGAAACTGTCAGGTGACACCCATGATGACCAACTTGGAAGTTTATGAGAATCCAGAGAGAAATCCAGTTTGATTTTAAAAGTGCTCGTAGGGTCCTCTAACATTTACTGATCATCTTTGAATTTTCAATTTCAAAAGAAGATTCTATACTCAAAGCAAAATCCTCTCTAGTAAATACCAGGGCTTTGAGCAAGGAAACGCTGACACTCAGAAAGAAGCCATAGAGGCAATCCCTGAATTAAGTAAACTCAACATGCTGTCCTGTGCAAAGGACAAGCACATGACATCATTGTTACCATTATTATTACTAAAGATAGTTTAGAGTTGGAATCTAGACAGATAATTACCTTCACAGGGGCTGTAGTAGAAAACAGTTATCAAGGACTAATTATATAAGGGACATAAATGTTCTTGTGAATCCACCCCCTTCCGCAACACACACACACACACACACACACAACACACACACACACACACACACACACACACAAATACATATGTAAAAATGTGCAGATTTATATCTAATATGGTGTTTTAGGTGCAGAGGAAGCTACATCATTCAACAACCAGTGACTATGTCTTCTTCATGCTTACTGCTTTTTCAGAGGACCCAGGCTCGGTTTCCAGTCCACATGACCTCTCACAACCATTCATAATTCCAGTACCAGGGGATCCAATGCTGCCTTCTGACTTCCACA